TCGCTCTCCTCCCCCCTCACACCCCGGTTCCCCACCAGGACTCACTGTGCTGGACGCTGGGACCTGGGCTGCGGGACCGAGCGGTGCCGGGAACAGAAGCTGGAGGGTTCAATGGGGTGACGCTGAGTCAAACTGTGTGAGCGGAGAGGAGTCGGGGAGGCACGGTTGCCCCAATATCGATGGTTGCGGCTTAACAGGCTCAGACATACCCTGCACCGCCGGGCGCTGCCTCCCACGTCTCCTCCTTCTCCGGATGGGCGCGCTGAAACCCGGGAGCCTGTGAATAGCCGGCGAAGAAGTAAAAATGTCCGCCGGGAAGAGGACTGCGGAAGTCCCGCCCTAACCGGATGCGCTGGCACCAAAATGCCGTTCGTAGTCGCATTGCTTTCTGGGTAATGTAGTTTTCCCAACCGCCCAGGAGCGGGCTCTCTTTCCAGCCTAGGATCCTGAGGAACAAGGTGTTGTAGAGCTACCAGGGGCTCCGGGGAAGGAGGAGATGGGACTAGAGGCCCGGTTCACTGGGACAGACTGACAAACCTCCCAGGGGAGGGGTTGGGAGAAGAATTCCTGATCTGAGCTCTCTAGGTGAGACTCCACAAAATAAAATGAATGTGTTGTTACCTAACAGGAACGGATCAAATTTCTGTAATTAGGTTGATGGGAACAAAATAATTTTAGAAGTGTGGATAGACAATAGTAAAACTAAGTGGTTAATTTTCATTTATAATCATATATAAACTGTGTTAAACAAATTCTGGCCCGAATAGCCATTTATTTCCAGGAGCCGCATCAGTGGCGCGACTGTGGAACTGAGAGGCCTAGACTCAGCTCTCAAACCTGGTACAGACTCTCAGCCCCAGCCCTTCCTTGTTAAGGACTTGGGCTCAGCCAAGTTGCACACCTGTTAGCAGGTGCACTCCTCCCACCAGGCGAGGCTGTACCATCAGGCACTCTCACACCACGTGTACAAAGGATGGGGGCAGTTTTAGGTTTATGTTGTGTGCTTCTCTGATTTTCTGCTACTGGGTTGGTGCTGCTGCCAATACAGTGACCTGCTGATAGCTAAGAGTCACTTGCTTAGCTCAGCGGCTTGAGTGTGCACCACTTAAAGCCCTCCAAACAGAGAGGCCTGCCTGGCCAGTGCTGATGCCCAAGTTGTGGGCTCCATCCCCAGGGGTGACCTGTGGGAAGCAGCCAATCCCTGATTCTCTCTCATTGATGATTCTATCTCTCCCTATTCCTTCTACTCCCGGGAGGAGTTTTACTTTCATGCTCAGGGTGACGAGGCTGTGGGTGGTTGTGAACAGCAGAGGGCTGAGGCCTGAGATGCGGGTCTAAATGTTCCCCTCTGAAAGGCCTCAATGTTGTGTTGCTTTTCTCTAAGGATGCATTATAGGTGGGTGTCTGTTGCAAAAAGGGGCTCTGCTGGTGTTTATGGTGTGAGTTGAGCTGTGATTTGGGAGTCCCTACGGCCTTTCCAAGACATGTTAAACCTGCTGAGGGGCCACAGAGCTGCCTGGCACCCCATCACTTGCTTTACATCCCTGTGCTGTGCCTCACTTTGCTCAGACTCCAGAGTCCTCAGGTGTCTTCATCACCTAGGTCACTGGATCAGCATGTCTTTTAGTGGCTGTAGGTCTCCCAGCTGGGCTCTTTGTTGGAGTCACTTCTGTTCAGCTGTGTTTTTGGAAGTGAGCAGTACATGGGGGCCCTTCATCCTAGGGGAATGAGGGCCTGCCCAGAGTGTGCCCCAGGACACATCCTCCCTCCTCCCCTCTTCCTGTACTAGGAACTGAGACACCTCCCAGAAGTACCTGGAGGAGCTGCTGGGGGAGAACATGGCCCTTGAGGCTTTGCAGGTCCAGAGAATGAACCAGCACACCCACCTGAGCTGGAAGCTGGAGCAGCTGTGAGAAGGTAGGCAGCAGCCCTTGGCACCAAGGAGCCAGCCTGGCTGCGGTTTCTCCCTCACCCAGGGAGCTGAGCCCTGGGCTCTGAATCTCCTGGGTCAGCCCATCCTCACCCAAGTCAATAGGGTTTTATTCAGGGGCCATTTGGGACTGTTCCATTGCCATTCTTTCCACAGAGAACATGAGGGGTCTGGCAGCCTGGAATTCAGGACATAAACCACAAAGTAAGTGTTGCCAGTTTTCTCAGCTCCCGTATGGACAGTCCCAGGAGCTTCCAGATGACAGCACGCTAGCACCCAGAGGATGTCTTAGATCCATCCATGGGGGATTGAAAGCTCTGCATGGCAGGAGCCTTCCCCAGTGGTCACTGACCTCCAGTATAACTGACCCTGGGCATGATTTCCTCCGTTTATGTCATAATTGGGCAGATGGGTGGAGTCTGCTCTCTGTCTCCCTGGTCAGGTTTTGCTAACTGTCTGCTTCTCAGGCCTCTCCCTCTCCCTCTCATGTTTGGGGCCCTCCTAGCACCCAGTCAAGGTGTGCAGTTGGCCAGGGGAAGGTGGGTGGAGTGGCAGGTGGTGCAACAGGGAGCCTGGGCACCCAGCAAACAGGAAGCCAGGTCCTGTGCTCAACACCAGCAGGCGTGCACCTGAGAGCACAGGAAAGGTGTTCTTAGAGCTCTGCAGAGCGCTGGAGGACCTTGGGCTTATTTGGGGAGGGGTTGCTTTTCCAATTCTGATCAACATTCATAAGCATCATGGAGAGGCTGTTGAAAGCAGTTGGATATTTCTTCTCTTCAAGGGGTCCCATCAGCTTCAAACCTAGTCAGTTCATTGAACTGTGAATCTGCGTGAGAAGTTAGTTCTTTCTGTGGTTGGGTGTCCTGGCACTCCTGGGGCTAGGGACGGGTAAAACGGGAATCCCTGCTCTGGGAGTTTAGGGTCATGGGCAGGACACTACCCCCGTATGCTGATGGCAGGGACCCTCTTAGACCAAATGTTTGTCAGAGACCAGGGTGGCTGGTGGGGTTGGAAAGCCCCCCTTGGTGCAGACACTCCATGTAGCTTGTGAACCCTTGCAGGCCAGTGCACGGGGCTTCTTGTTCCCATACCTGGTGCTTAGCTGGCAACTCAGAAACTAAGTGTGGAGGAACTTTTGTGTGGATGGTGTGGTGGGTTCTTGATTTAGAAAGACTCAGCTTTGAGTCCTAGTTCCTCTACCTGCTGGACGGGTGGCCTCTTTTAAAACTCAGTTTTCACCCTAACCGGTTTGGCTCAGTGGATAGAGCGTCAGCCTGCGGACTCAAGGATCCCAGGTTCAATTCCAGTCAAGGGCATGTACCTTGGTTGCGGGCACATCCCCAGTAGGGAGTGTGCAGGAGGCAGCTGATCGATGTTTCTAACTCTCTATCCCTCTCCCTTCCTCTCTGTAAAAAAAAATCAATAAAATATATTAAAAAACAAAGAAACAAACAAATAAACTCAGTTTTCTTATTTGCAAAATGGGGCCAATTAAGCTGCCTCGCAAGATTGCTGTGCGTGTCTCATGAGAGGAGACAATGAAGCTCTACACTGGCCTGGCCCACAGGGTGCCAGCATAGGATGGCTGCCCTCGTGCCTTGGTCTATTAAAAACATTCATTGCTCTGGCTCTGGCGGTGCTTGTAAGCATAGCACCCAGGAGAGAACCATTGCCTGTTTTCTCCATAAATAGTTGTATCATCATGAGAGCCTGTGGGGCACTGGCCTTTAGGGTAAAGAGGCTTGTCATCGGTTCCGCTGCTGCCCTTGGAAGTCCCTCACCATTACTTCCCAGGAGTGCAGTGCCCTGGTGTGAGGTATTGAGAGTCGGGAAGTGGGCGGTGGTGAGTGCAGGTCAGTGGGAATGTAGCAAATGCTATAGAACTATAAGCTGGAATATGGTTAAAACGGTGAACTCTGTGTTGTATATATTTCACCCCAATTTTCTCCAAATATATATTTTTATTGATTTCAGAGAGGAAGAGGGAAGGACAGAGAGAG